AGTATGTTTCTGTCATGAATTTTCATAAGGATTTTTACTACGTAGCATGTGTGGCTTAATGATGCAATCACCTGATAGACTAGGAAGACTCCAAAGGAAACGTTCCGGTCTGTTGTGTACATAATACTTGTTTCAAAAATCTGCCTAATTAAGGAATTACCCAATGGAATGCGAGTCTACTGGGTGCATGACATGGTTAAAGAAAATAACAACAACAAAACCCCTTTAGTATAATTACAATATTACATGATATTTTATATTGGCAATTTTGAATATAAGGGAATGATGCTAACCTGCCATTGTTTCAGCTGGTATACAAGTAGATTATGATAATTTGTAAAGGGAAAATAATTGTATAGTTTTTCAGTGATAGAGCTGTTCTGACCGTTTCTCTGTCCAACTCCAGTCTACAAACCACAGTGTATAATGATTTATTTGATTATCATCTTTCAGTGACTCAAAAAATCAGTGAAACATCACTGCTAATGAATTTTACTCCCAGCCTTATGTCTTGTTCGTCTCAGTGAGTTGCACAAAACCAGACGATGCGTTATGCAGAACTCTTGCATTGGTTGTGGTGGGCACGTTGTTGGAAGCTCAGATCAGCTGTTTGGGTTGTGTAGGTGTCCTCCTCCCTCGCTTCTTTCTTTAATCCACCATTTAATTACTTGCCTTTAGAGTGCAACAAGAAATAACAGTAAAAATTATCTGATAGATTAAGTATGAGCATAGCACTTGATATAATGGATCAGAAGAAATAATGGTCTCTTCTTGGCAGGAGAGAATGGTGCTGGGGAATTTGGAGGCAGGGTGAGGAGCCGTAGGGAGCCAGCCTGGGCTATGCTGGGTGAAGTGTTTACAAAGGTACTCCATCACGTGCTAGAATAGAGTTGCCCAAACTGGTGTTGGATACAACAAAAAAAACCCTCACTGCAAGGCTTAGGCAGAGGCAGCGTGATAGCTGATGGACTCTGATGGATCAATGGAGGGCCTGACCTTTGTTTCACCCAATTATGAGACACTGTCCAGCATGGGGAACTTCTCTGAATTGCAATTAGTTGTCAACATGGTTTCACTGGCGCACGAGGTAGGGTGGAGAGCTTTTCTTTTGGCAGGTACTTTATCGGTTTGGGTCCAGTGCATCTTAGTGAGTTATGAGAGAGACTCTGTGCAGGCTGGGCTCAGGCTGCCCTTGGTTGTCGTGTCGTCTTACTGGTCTGAATCGCAAAGTCAGTTGACATGGCTAGCTGTGAGATGCATTTGTCCAACATGGGCAGTTTGAGTTGCACAAAAGGGTCTCACCTCTGGTCCTCCACACCATCGAGGTCCATGCATTGCATAATACGGAGGAACAGAGAAATACACAAAAACGGAGGTGAGAAGATTTTCCTTAATTAGTGAGATTTAGGCAGATTGCAGATCCTAAGTAGTAATGAGCTTCACAAAAGCGAGCCCTCATTGGATCAAAGTCAGTGCAAGATAAGGGGAGCTCAAGGTCACAGAGGGAGCTGCCCAGCAGGGCCATTTGCATAAAAAATTACTGTCAGAAATAGGCCAGAGAGGCAGCCCTGGCATTTTGATCTCTTGGCCTTTGTCATGGAGATTCCTAGTTGTGAAGGGAGGAAGGCCAGTGTCCCAGATAATGATTAACTGTTTTAATGGCATTCATTCATTCATTCCGCACTAACTACTCATGCAGAAAAAAGGGTTATGTAAAATGACATTAGAAGAAAAATCATTTGTAATCGTTGCATCAGGCTGCACTTTGAGGAGACATTAGAAGTAAATCCATGGCGTGGTAGGCTTATGCTTTATCTTCTGATATTTACTGAGTTTACTGGTGCATGAAAAGCTTTCAGCAAGAATAGCAGATGGGATGGACCTTTCATAGGTAATGCTATCTACCAGGTTATTACTTCTATATATTGATAGTGAAGTAATCTCCAAGATATCACCCTACAAATATAGATTATTTAAATGTTTGTAACAAAAAAACCTATAACATAAAGAAGCTACGTTCATGAATAGTTTATTTTGTACCCATATGGCTGCAGTCTTTAGATGCTTTTTTAAGCCTTAAATAATAAGAAAAAAGAGGGTTTATAACATGTGGGTTTCCTTTTTGTTTGGCTTTGGAAAGGAGTAAAGTTATGTTGAGTTGTAATCTGACCTGCAAGTATTCAGTTTAATTTCTTTCCTTAAATGCAACCTTTTTCTATTAACTAAACAAAAGGAAATGGGGCGGGGGGAGCTGGCTAAAGAGGGGGTACAGAGCAGGGGAGGTTGGGGTCACAGGGTGTGTGTTCCCGATAAATGGGAGAGCCTGAAGGACTCCTGCACTAGAGGAAAGCCCCAGCATATCTATTTATGCCAGGTTTTTAGGCGCAGTTGTTCCCCAGTGAGGTAGGGCCGCTCCGCAGGCGCTCATCTCCCACTCACGACGCGAGGGTGGTGGGGAGACGGTAGCATAGCCAGCGCCTTGCACAGCCGTTGAGTTCCAGCTGGATCACTGTTAGCCACTGAGAACTCCCAAGTGTTCGGCGGTGGGAGGCATACCCACAAGTCAATACCAGGCGTAATTTATGAGTCAGGTGAGTTATTCGCATCTCCTGTGGTGTGTTTAACTTTCGGATTACACTGAGGCACCTACTGAAGGAGTGTGTAAAGGCTCTTTACTTACTAATTTAGCCATATAAATCACTACAGCGCTCTAGTGAGCATGCTTCATTTCTTGTCAACATCCATACAGGTAGCATTTACTTTCAAAAGCCCAGTTCAAAACAGTGCAAGACCTTACTTACCTCTTTTGTAAAACGTAATTTTGAACTCAATGCAAATTTTACTAGAGTTTCAATATAAGAACACTAACAATGACCAAAATAATAATTATTTACGTTGGAGGATGACCATTCAGCAGTTGAAGGTGTCAGACTCTTCAATGGGCAGTCCAGCAGACAACATCTTGGAATGTGAAGGATCGTGCCTCTGGAATAATACATGTTTTTTGTAACTGCATGTTATTGTTACACAGCACCTTGCAAAGACCAAATAGTATAATAATGTCATTTTCAGACTGACATTACAGGTCATTTTAAAGGCCTAGCTGGCAGAAAGCTGAACAATAATCTAATGGTCTTGATTTTATCTTTGACAGCTGTACTGTACTAGTATTCTGGTCGCAGAGCTCTCTAGCAGACAGGGACTGACTTGAAGGAACCTGTTGGGGTTTTGTGGCAGCATCCCAGTGTGGGCTTCAAAGAACATCAGCTTTGAAAACAGATTTAATATGGGTAAAATTCTACATGGTAGGAAGGCAGAGGAAGGTATCACTCGTAGGATTTATTTCAGGTGTTTAGGATCTGTGCCCAAAGTGGACGTGATTTCTGAGGCCACTCCTCATGCTGAAAACTAACTAGAATACAAATGATTGATCCAGTAAATTAAACCCATAGATTTTTCCTCAGGGGGATTATACAGATGTTTGCACTTGTTTTTGGTCCCCACCCCGCCCCTTGCCTGTTCTATGTATTTATGATAAAAGAATACCTGAAAAACTAAGCCGGCTTAGTAAGTCACTTATACACTCTGTTAGCTGAAGAGCTCTTGCTGTAAGACATGGATGAGAAATATACAAATTACTTTATAGGTGGTGGGTTTTTTCCTTTCCCTGTTTCCCTGCCTTTTGTCACAAATCACTGTTGGATGTGTCACTCTTCTTAGTCTTCCTTTAGCCTTCTTCTGGTGAGTGAATGTGAACTGAGGAACATGAATCTGAAACACACAATCAAACCCAAGGCTGAAGAGGTTCAAAATAAAGTGACCCTGCTAGTGTCACCAGATTCATAAAAAATGGCATTGGAATATTTCTGTTGTTTCTGCCTATTTTACAAGCAGTGCTGTCATTCTTCTGGAGGCCATGCAGGAGAACACGGGAGCTCTAACAGCAGAAGAGCACAGTGATACAGATTTAAAGAAAAAAGCAATTCCTGTAACGAGCTTTACCAAGTAGTACTAATTTATTTGAAATCTAGGCCACTCTTCTGTGCTCTTTCAGCGCCAGAGAGAAGGAAATATACGCAATGCCAAAAGCAAAAAGGTTGCTCTTTTGCTGTGCTGCTTTTTAGCCAGAATTCATGCACCTCTCGTTCATACCTGTGCCTCCTCTCGCTACGCATAGGCTCTGTGGCAGTTACTTCTCCAAGGGATGAATGTGTTTGCATGTGTGAGAAGTAAAGGAATAGACAATATTTTCACCTATTCCACTTAGCAGTGCTAGATGAAGAAAAGAAAAAGAGCTGCCTATTCCCCTGAATTCAATGCAGTGTGCCAAATCTTCCTTTGGCCTGTGTAAGTGCAAAGGGCAGCTAAGGACTAATGTCTCCTTAAAAGCAAAGACTCCTGTCTCCTCTGCTGGGAGCAGAACCAGGTCCCCCATTCCCTTGGAAGGACTCGCAGGTTCTCCTGCAGCAGATCTGTTTCAGAGCACTGCAGTTGGAAGGAAGTGTAGGCTTGGGAATGCAGTGGGTGAAGACCCTGTATCTCTATCAGATCTTTGCCATATTGTTTTTAAGCAAGACTTGTTCAGCAATACACAAATGTGCCTGTCCAGCTGGTGGATGCAATATCTGATGGCCCTGTCCATCCCAGGGGATGGTGGGGCATCTGTGATGAGGTGGCGGGGTGGTGAAGACAAGGAGGAGGGGACAGAGCTAAATCAGCAGCCTGTTTTCTTGTATTCAGATCTGAAATAACATGGAGAGGTGGAATAGATACTGGGGATGCCTCTTCCCACCTCATTTGTGATGCTCAGGCAGAACCTTACTCTGCAAAATTACAGTAATATGAACCACTTGCTTCTTTTTCAAACTTAATATTCCAACAGCAAGGAGGAATGTATTGATTTAAGCATAATAGAATTATATTTATGTAATTTTAATTTATTTTTAATTCAGCATTCGGAATACTGCCAGACCTAATTCTTGCCTATTTCCATCTTTCAGACAAAGCCAGGACCAATCAAGACGGCCGCTTCTCAATCTAAGCGCTCTGCTTTAGTGTACTGCTACAACTGTTCTCAGAAAGGACATTTTGGATATGTAAGTCTCAGCAGTCTCTGCCTTGGTGTTGAGTATATCCTTGGGGTAGAAATTCGCCTCTGCGACAGTGTATGGCTGGAGAAGAGAGCTGGAAGAGTCAAGCCAACACCATACAAAGGGCCGTTCTAATGAAATGTTTCTGACTTTCCAGCACTGCTGCAATCAGTGGAGGCCAGTATATAAAGTGATCTCACCCATCTAATGTAAAGATATGGAGGAAAAGAAAAGTTATTGTCTCTCCTTGGCAGGTTTATTGATTTGTTTTTTAAATCCTAAATCAAAATGACACTGCCTGGGAGAGAGAATATTCGTTGGAAAACAGACACTTGCTGAACAGAGCTCACTCTTTTTCTTTCTTTCTTTCTTTCTTTCTTTCTTTCTTGCTTGCTTGCTTGCTTGCTTGCTTGCTTTCTTGCTTTCTTTCTTTCTTGCTTTCTTTCTTTCTTGCTTGCTTTCTTTCTTGCTTTCTTTCTTGCTTGCTTTCTTGCTTTCTTGCTTTCTTGCTTTTCTTGCTTTCTTGCTTGCTTGCTTTCTCGCTTTCTTTCTCGCTTTCTCGCTTTCTCTTTCTCTTTCTCTTTCTCTTTCTCTTTCTCTTTCTCTTTCTCTTTCTCCGTTCTCTTTCTCTTTCTCCTTTCTCTTTCTCCTTTCTCTCTCTTTCTCTCCTTCCCTCCCTCTCTCCCTCCCTCCCTCCCTCCTTCCTCCTCTCCTTCCCCCCCCGCCATGGCTTATGGGATGAAATATGATTGTCTTACTGCCATGTCCAACATCATGTAAGGTTTTTCACCACAATCAGCCCAACAATTTGAATGACCGTTTTAGGAATTTTCTCTTTCTGCTTGCTTTTGATGATCCTTCTTTGTAGTTTCTTAGTTTGATTCAACATCTGAATTAAGTTTGACATCATCCTTCTGTAAGGAACACAGCCTTCTGAAGGAGGACATCATAACCCTAAGCGCCTTCAGTAAAAACTGGAGATGTGCTGTGTCTTCTAGGATTGCTTGCTGATGTTTATCAGCTTTTTCAGCCTCCTGTTGTGACAAGTGCAGCTCTCTACCTCCAAATATCAACACCAAACAAATGTTAGTTCTGTTCTTTTATGAAATAAATCCAGGAGCCACAAGTATTCTAGAAAATTAATGTTATTAATGCATTGCATTGGTTAAGTTTATAGTTTCATACAGCTTAAGACGTAGCAAATTCCCAGGAAATTCCTTCCTTCTCTCCTGCATACTCTGTGTGTCAACTCCTACAACTACTGATGATACATCATTAAAAGCTTGCTGCTGTTCTCAGCTAAGTAGTTAATCCCTGTGGGGAATAGTGCAACAGGTAGGGCAAGTTTGCTGGGATATTCTCATGGCAGAGCTGCAAGATAAACAGAAGATTTTTAATGCCAAGCTGTCTTTGGAAAGAAATGAAGATTCTCCTCTTTCAGCGATGTGCTGAGGCCATCACGTACATTCAAGACACGCTGCTACCAGCACAGCCAGGTTGGAGAGGGCAGGAAGTAAGCAGCTGTTGCAATCCAAGCTCGGTAAGAGATGAGCTTATGCCAGCAACCTGGTGTCAGCCCTGGCACGGCAGGAGTACAGGCACTGCCTTGGCTGTACAGCAGCCCGAATCCTTGGTTTGACCTGCAAGACGCCTGCTCAAGACACAGCTACACATGTGGCAGCAGTGTGAGACCTCAGTGATGGAATCATGTGAACTGGTTTGTTCTGCCTGCAGTTTGGGACTAAAGCTCATAAAACCTGTGAAAGCAGCACTGAAACTGATCTTGCTAAACAAAACCAGACTAAAGCCCCTGTCAGTAATATAGTCACTAAAATGAGCATATACAATAAAAAATGAAGTGACAGGATTGAAGAAGGAGTGAGACTGTTGGCAATAGATACGGAACATTTTAATAAACTGCCAAAAAATGGCATGCGAGGAAGGCAGCCGGACATGGATATGAATAAGGCTGCTGTAAAAATAATTAGTAAATATTTGGGAGGAGCTGATGGTAATTATTTAGATAGAAAATTGTAGAAACTGTATAAAATCAGTAAGGGAGTAAAGTGACTCAAGGACAACATTTTATGGCTATCAAAGTTAAAGAAGATAAGATAGTATTTTTACTAGGATACAAGGAGCAGAAATAGCCTTAATAATGACTGAATGAAAATGGAGAAGTCATTAACAACACAGGAGGGAAGAAATAACAGATTTTTCTGTATGCAGAAAAACGTCCAGGACTCACATTGGATTATGTAATAATCTGAGTGTTTGCCCTGCAATCACTAAAGCTTCTGTCCAAGAATGGCTGAGGAAATTGGACTGGTAGCCTGCATGTGCATCTTTACAGCAACCCAGCTGGACAGGCAATGCATCTGAGATTTGCAGCTTTCACTGGCTAAGAAAACTGAGGTCGTAATCAGTGCCTGAGTTCATGCAGTGAACAGCTCTGTTACAGCTTGAAAGATCTGCCTATAATTTAAGGGGGGAAAAAGTTTATTTTTTGATGGGTTTTTTAAAATGTATATATTTTTAAGCAAGTAAAAATTACTTGTGATGGCAAGCATCTCTTAATATTTTTCCAATTTCAGTACCACAGGAACCCTTCTCTATGGCCTTTTTTGAGCAGTTAAAGCAGAGGAATAGCAAACTGACCAAGAACAAAAGGCTGGGGTTAGTTTTGTATAGACACATCATAATCACTGCTTCTCACTGCAGTCCATTTCTTTCCATGTTACTATTTACTAGTTTAGGAACACCTGAAATTCCTTTTCTTTGCTAGAGGGCTAGGAAGACCTTTCCCAAAAACAGATGCAATGGCAAAAAATTTGCTAAATCGCAAACACAGCAGAGTTAACTGTGCAGTTCCAGTAAGGAGGTCATTGCAGATCACTTCTTGTCATTTATAGAGATGGAAATGATTAAGACATAAACTGTCAGAGGTTCCAACACCTAGCAGTTATGTTTCCTGAATTTGCTGTGGTGTTTAGTCATGTGTTTATGTAAACTAAGGATTTAATAAGGATAAGAAATCTTATTTACTTTAGTAGACTGCACATCATAGTCCACACATCCAAAAAATTGTCTTGTACGGTCCACAACAAAGGTGTGTTCATTTTAAGGGGCATCCCTGTTGGAAAGTTAAGAGGGAAGGACAGCCCACTGCATTATTCAG